AAAATCCACTTCACCGGAGAAATAGGAGCTGAGATATTTGACAAAAATTATGGGTCGAATCGAACCAGGTGTGCAAGTAAAAGGGGGTCAAAAAATAAGTGAGTAAGTTAGGGATTTACATAATCTGATGAAAAGTTCTTAATACATACCTGTAGCAGAGATGTCCTTGTTTCCAGTGGGTTTCTCGGTGCTGTATTTCTCCACAACCACTTCCTCGTCATCATCATCATCACTTAAGTGTGCTTCAAAGTTCAATTCGCTTTCCATCGACTTTCCAAGAACTTCCAAATATGGATGCGGCTTTTGAACACTCCATTCATCCAAATCATTTGAAGAACTGTATTTAGGAGCCCCAAAGCCATCAGGATTATTTTCCTTATCGAATTCCTCCTGTTGAATGCAACTCGCCAGTAACGCAGATGCAAATTGATTATCTATTATGAAGATAACGATCAATTGTTTTAGTATGAGCACTTCAAGTGATAACAACCAATAGATTAATAAGAATTTACCTTGCATGGCACGTCCAGCATCTTCATTGGATAAGAGGACGGTGTACTCTTTACCGGTCATAGGGTCGGAAATTGATATCTTTGTGGTGTGCTCAAGGTCAGACACCCCATCAGGGTCCTCCGCCCTCATTTTGATGAATGAATTTGATCTTTATTATGTAAATCTAAAGGATTCTTGACACCATTGTGTATTCCGAGAGGTTAAATTATGAACTCTGAATACAAATAATGGCGCGACTACGCGAAGTTAGCTACAAGAATTACGAAACAGAAATATTGGTAGTGGCAGTACTGCCACTGCGCGCAGTTGATTCCGAAACAATCTCTGTGCCGAGTTATGTTATGTCCTACCGAAGTAACTAGGAGGACAGTAGCGCCAATGAAATTTAGAGCGCCAATTTTTGACTGTAGATTCGTTTGCCGCCAAAGCTCTGATGAGCACTCCATCGAAGTCCAATTGTTTAATCCCAGAATATTTGGTTGGAAGGGTTGAATTGTGAAATAAATTCAACACAAGTGCTTAAGAGAGCACACAAACACTTTTATTCAAAATACTTCAACTTCAGACTTTAAACTTTGCACTACAAAAAA